GTTATACATTGGTTTTTTTTTTTTTTAAGTTTAGCAAATAATAGAAACCACGTAGTTTAGATTCTAATAAATATCTTATAATACCTATTTTGAGATGTTTAATACATATTCTAAAACTAATTTTGGTGTACAAGAACCCAGAATAAAAGGTAAAATCACGAAAATCGTTTTAATTACCAAGATAAATGCAGAAACAAGCAGACAGGAAGGAATTTTTCCCTAGGTCTTTTTCTGGAATAATGGAGTGGTTTCCTCAGTTTCAAGGTTGAAATGCTCATCAGAAAGATCCCATCTGCTTCTCCCTTTTTTCCTTAGTATCTGACACTTTGTGTGAAATTGGCCTGAAATAGTGAATTTCTGAGTCAGGGTTGGAACGCGTGGGTTACAGCTGCGTCTGTTGAAAGCCCATCTGTTTTCTTATATGAAATGTCTGCAGATTGTGATGGCGTGGTCACAGCTCCACCGTGTGGCGCATTAGTTTTAGAACACAATACTTTTGCTGCTGGTTTTGCTTTGTACAGTACGTTATCTTTTAGAGCAAAAGTCAGCCACCTGAGGCCCAAGGGCCAGATTTACCCTGCTGCCTCTTTTTGTAAGGCCTGTGAGTAAAAAATGGATTTAAAATTTTTCTAATGGTTGAAAAAAAATCAAAAGAAAAATGTTTCATGGCACATGGAAATGACACGAAATGAAGATTCCGGTGTCCATAAATACAGTTCTGTTGGTGCACAGCCACACCAGGTCTTCACGTTTTATGAGCGACTGCCCTCATACGACACAGCAGTGTTAAGCGGCCGCGTCAGAGACCTCAGGGCACACAACTGCTGAGATGTTTGCCCTTTAGAGGAAAAAAATTGCTGACCTCTGTTTTAGAGCAATTAAAAATAAAAAGATTTATTTTATCTAAACTGATTCCATTTCTAGCACTCCTTCTTTTCTTTGTGTGGACCCAAGTTCCTCTCTGGTATCATAGTCCTGTCTCAAGAGCGTCCTCTAACATTTCTTATAGGGTAGGATTATATGGGTGGATCCAGATGGATGCCTAGGGATGTAGTGGGTGGCATTATAGGAGAGGAGCTTTTATAAAAAGCTCCTTATGCCCTGAGCCTTTATAGTGGGCAGTAGCATTCC